TGGCTGACATGAAGAAATCACTGGACGAACTCAAACTTGGAGATGGAGCTACAGCTCCCGTAGTAGCTACAACACCTTCGCTACGTGGGTTCAAGGTGCCACCGTTCGACGGTACCTCATCCTGGTCAGCCTACAAAATCCAGTTCGAGGCTGTTATGAAGGCGAACGGCTGGAATAAAAGTCAGGCCATGACTGCTCTCACACTAGGCCTGCGCGACCAGGCCTTAACAGTTCTGGAAGCTCTCGGTGAGGAAGTAACTTATGAGCAACTCCTTGAGGCATTGGAGGTGAGATATGGCGACGCTCACCTGGAACACGTCTTTCGTGCGCAGCTTAAAGATCGCGTGCAGCGCATCAACGAAAACCTGCAGCAGTGGGCTCTAGAGGTGGAGAAGCTGGTGCGAAAAGCATACCGGTCTGTACCTGCGCTCATTGAAGGGAACCTGGTGCAGACATTCATCGACGGCATCCGTGACCTGGAAGTCAGAGCTGCTGTGAGGCTCGGGCACCACGAGACGCTTAAGAACGCCTTGGCCCATGCACTGGAGGTGGAAGCCGTGCGGCAGGATCATCGTTCCCATCGCGTCAGGGAGGTTGCAGCAGCTACAGACCGTGACCGCAGCAAAGGATACAGCCCTAGGTGCTATGGCTGTGGGGAAAAGGGCCATCTTCGATCCAGCTGCCCTAAACTAACCGTGGAAAGGAGAGTTGATCGATCTCGAGAGGGTAGTACAGCTAACGGCACTGCCTGGCGGCGACAGGATCATCGTTCACCTCACGCTAGGGAGGTTACAGCAGTTACGGTTCGCGACCACAATAAAAGATACAGCCCTAGGTGCTATGGCTGTGGAGAAAGTGGCCATCTTCGGTCCAGCTGCCCGAAGCACACCCTAGGAAGGGAAGGTGAACGGTCTCAGAAAGGAAGTGCGGCTAACAGCACCGCCCAGCAGCAGCAGGAATACGACTTTACTATCAGACACTGCAGCGGGAAATCTCACGGCAACACAGATGCATTGTCAAGATGACCCTGTCCTGAAGATGGCAACCATTGTAGTAGGCAAGGAAAGGAAGTGGTATCCGTGAGGATGCTCAGAACAGACCACCTCAGCAACGGGTGGAAGGACAACCTACGACATGCACAGCAGGAAGATCCGGACATCAAGCCGATTCTGGGATGGATGAAGGCCCGTGCTACCAAGCCTAAGTGGAAGGACGTCTCAGCGATGAGTTCAACCACGAAAAGCTATTGGGCCCAATGGGACAGCTTGCTGCTTCAGGATGGAGTCCTGTGCCGTAAATGGGACAATGGTCGAGGAGACAGCTGTCGTTTGCAAATGGTTGTCCCTAAAGCTAAAGTGCCGAATGTTCTACAGCTGTGCCATAATGGTCGTTCAAGAGTCCATCTGGGAGTTAAACGAACTCTACTGAAGATCCGAGAACAGTTTTACTGGGTCCATTATCGTGACGATGTCGAGGATTGGTGTCGTACATGTACAAGTTGTGCGGCCGTGCGGGGACCTCAGACACGTAGTAGAGGAGCACCGAAATTGTACAATGTTGGTGCACCACGGGATAGGACAGCCCTTGACATTGCGGAGCCGTTACAGAAAGGCGCAAGAGGGACTCCTAAGATCGTCCATGTGAATCGCTTGGCGCGTTATTATGGGGCCGATAATGCTCGGGACGAGCATGTCTTAGGAGGGGGCAGTGTTACGCGCTAAAATCGGCGCACTAGCGCCATCTAGTCTCGAACCGAAGAACTAAACTTCTTGGAGTTTAAAACTCGAACTCTCGGTACCTTGCGCGTGTTTACTTGAACATTCTGGATATTTCTTTGCTAATTTAAATATATAGGCGCTGCAAGATGCGATGGGGGCAGAGTTGAACTCGGCGACACAAGCGAAGCGAAGCGAACCTCAAGCTCGATCGAGCTTGAGGTTCGTGACAATACAAATTGCCGATAGAATTACCTAAATTAACACTTTAATTTACTTTACACAAATTAAAACTTAAAACACTAGTAATTAAACACACTAATTCACTTAATTCCGCTCCGAAGCTTCGCTTGTGTCGCCGAGTTCAACTCTGCCCCCATCGCATCTTGCAGCGCCTATATATTTAAATTAGCAAAGAAATATCCAGAATGTTCAAGTAAACACGCGCAAGGTACCGAGCGTTCGAGTTTCGACTAGGCGCTGTCGATTGAGTGATTTGTGATGTCATTTTCCCAATGCTCCCCTCGCTCTCGTTCCTGACACTAGATGGCGCTAGTGTATCGTTGACTTGAGCGCGTAACACTGCCCCCTCCTAAGACATGCTCGTCCCGAGCATTATCGGCCCCATAATAACGCGCCAAGCGATTCACATGGACGATCTTAGGAGTCCCTCTTGCGCCTTTCTGTAACGGCTCCGCAATGTCAAGGGCTATCCTATCCCGTGGTGCACCAACATTGTACAATTTCAGTGCTCCTCTACTACATGTCTGAGGTCCCCGCACGGCCGCACAACTTATACATGTACGACACCAATCCTCGACATCGTCACGATAATGGACCCAGTAAAACTGTTCTCGGACCTTCAGTAGAGTTCGTTTAACTCCCAGATGGACTCTTGAACGACCATTATGGCACAGCGGTAGAACATTCGGCACTTTAGCTTTAGGGACAACCATTTGCAAACAACAGCTGTCTCCTCGACCATTGTCCCATTTACGGCACAGGACTTCATCCTGAATCAGCAAGCTGTCCTATTGGGCCCAATAGCTTTTCGTGGTTGAACTCATCGCTGAGACGTCCCTCCACTTAGGCTTGGAAGCACGGGCCTTCATCCATCCCAGAATCGGCTTGATGTCCGGATCTTCCTGCTGTGTATGTCGTAGGCTGTCCTTCCACCCGTTGCTGAGGTGGTCTGTTCTGAGCATCCTCACGGATACCACTTCCTTTACTTGCCTACTACAATGGTTGCCATCTTCAGGACAGGGTCTTCTTGACAATGCATCTGTGTTGCCGTGAGATTTCCTGCTGCAGTATCTGATAGTAAAGTCGTATTCCTGCTGCTGCTGGGCGGTGCTGTTAGCCGCACTTCCTTTCTGAGACCGTTCACCTTCCCTTCCTTGGGTGTGCTTAGGGCAGCTGGACCGAAGATGGCCCCTTTCCCCACAGCCATAGCACCTGGGGCTGTATCCTTTGTTGTGGTCGTGAACCGTAACTGCGGCAACCACCCTAGCGCTAGGGGAACGACGATCCTGCCACCGCCAGGCGGTGCCATTAGCTGCACGACCCTCTCGAGATCGATCAACTCTCCTTTCCACGGTTCTCTTAGGGCAGCTGGATCGAAGATGGCCCTTTTGCCCACAGCCATAGCACCTTGGGCTGTATCCTTTGATGCGGTCGCGAACTGTAGTTGCTGCAACCTCCCTGACGCGATGGGAACGATGATCCTGCCGCACGGCTTCCACTTCCAGTGCATGGGCCAAGGCGTCCTTAAGCGTCTCGTGGTGCCCGAGCCTCACAGCAGCTCTGACTTCCAGGTCGCGGATGCCGTCGATGAATGTCTGCACCAGGTTCCCTTCAATGAGCGCAGGTACAGACCGGTATGCTTTTCGCGCCAGATTCTCCACTTCTAGAGCCCACTGCTGCAGGTTTTCGTTGATGCGCTGCACACGATCTTTAAGCTGCGCACGAAAGACGTGTTCCAGGTGAGCGTCACCATATCTCGCCTCCAATGCCTCAAGGAGTTGCCCATAAGTCACTTCCTCACCGAGAGCTTCCAGAACTGTTAAGGCCTGGTCGCGCAGGCCTAGTGTGAGAGCAGTCATGGCCTGACTTTTATTCCAGCCGTTCGCCTTCATAACAGCCTCGAACTGGATTTTGTAGGCTGACCAGGATGAGGTACCGTCGAACGGTGGTACCTTGAACCCACGTAGCGAAGGTGTTGTAGCTACTACGGGAGCTGTAGCTCCATCTCCAAGTTTGAGTTCGTCCAGTGATTTCTTCATGTCAGCCATTACGTTGTCAACCCGATTGTTTACTTGGTCGATTCGGGTTTCAGCTTTCTCGATTCGGTTTTCAGCTTTCGCGATTTGGGTTTCAGCTTCCGACAGGCGTTTGTCATGCTGAGCAACCCTATCCTTCACCTCCTTTATCTCCTTCCCGAAGGTAGCGTGAAGGTCCTTCATGAGGAGCATCTGTTCCTCCTGTCGGCGGGCCTCTTCCTCTTGTCCGCTCTGCAGCTGCTCTTTCAACTGACGGACCTGTTCCTCCTGTCGGCGAGCCTGCTCCTCCTGTCGGCGAGCCTGCTCCTGCAGCATAACCATCAAGGCGCCTAAATCAGGTGTTGCAGATGCAGGAGCTACTGACGAACCGGCCTCCGTTGCCGGCGGCTGGCCCTCCGACGTCTGCGGCTTTGCACCACCAAATCTTCTCTGGTCCGTCTCATGCTGGCGTTGACTGCGGGTACGAACACCCTCCGTTTCCTCCTTAGGTAAAATCGGCATGATTTTATCCCACTTCTGACACCACCACATACAATTTGCAAAATATTTTATTTTCATTAAAATAAAAAAAAAATGCGTTTTTTTAAATATTTTTTTTTCAAAAAAAACTTTTACTATATTTTTTTATTTTACTCATGTACTATCGCTAGACCAAGATCGTACGGAAAATGTACGATTTTTATATACCTGGCAAATCTGGCAACATTTCATAATGAATTGAACGTGCTCAACTGGCAAGTATGAGTTTCGGGGAATTCCCCAACAACCTAACGCGTACGTAGATCTTTTACTTGAATGAAGACTCTTTGTAGAGTCATTTAAAGGCTGTATTTGTTTGCATTTTTTCGAAACTTATTATTTTTTTCTTTCGGTAATAATTGTGATTTCTTAAAAACTCTTTTTTCTTGTTAGTCTCGCTCGAACTGTACGTAGTTTATATACGCTCTTTGAATCTGTATACTGCCTTCAGTGCTTTTTTGTGTTTGTGGTTTTTGGTCAAGCAAGAATGTTTGACAAAAGTGAAGACGAGCGACCTGCGCCAGGTACTCCAAAAAAGAAATTGGCTAAAAGAGGAGAGCTTTCTGTAGCAGAGAGGGATAAACACAGAGTACAGAAGTATCGTCCTGATTGGGAAAAACTAGACTTTTTTAAGAACTGGTTAGGGCCTGGTAAAAACCAATTTAAAGCCAGGTGCACTGTTTGTGACGTCGAAATGGTTTCAGAATATGGAGTTTTAAAATTACATTCTTCAAGACAAAAGCATACGAAAGCCATGTCGGCAATACCAAGCAAAACAAAACAGCGTAATATCATGTCCGCATTTGTTACGAAAGGAGTTATGTCGAAAAATAAAGTTGTCACAGCGACTGAAATCAAGCTGGCGGGTTTTCTAGCTGAGCATAATATTGCATTCCAAACTGCAGATCATATGTCAGATTTAATAAATGGTATATTGGAAGATTTTGGAGTGGAACATAAAATTGCTATGAAAAGAACAAAAGCTACAGCTGTAATCACCGAAGTAATTGGTGAAAGTGAAAAATCGTCTCTAGCCGAAAAACTGAAAACTGAGAAATTCAGTGTTATGTCTGACGAGTCAACAGATGTCAGCACTAACAAGGGCAGTTGTATAATTGTTAGATATTATGACGTTGAGGAAAATAAAGTTGTGAGTAAGTTTTGGGATCTTTGCAAAATATTTAGCCCTGATGATGAAAAAACAGCAGAAGGTGCTACTGGGGAAAAATTTGCTTAACATACTGATGAAGTCTTTTTCTGACCAGGATATATCGACAAAAATATGATTGGTTTTGGTGCAGACGATTGCAACGTGATGATGGGTGGAAATAACTCTGTGGCGAGCAGACTCAAGAAAAATTTGCTAGGTATGTTTGTAATGAAATGTGTTTGCCACTCTGCATACCTTTGCGCATCTGAATCGTGCAAACAATTACCAAGGCGCTGCGAAGATTTAGCGAGAGAGATATATAGTTTTTTCAAAAATGGTTCAAAAAGACAATTTCGCCTTCAACAGTTTCAAGAATTTGTGAGTGCTTCGCCTCACAAGATTTTGCATCCTTCACATATCCGTTGGTTGTCATTGGTGGTGGTTGTAGATCGATTATTAGAACAATGGGATGCATTAAAATTGTTCTTTACTGACTGCTGGTTGAATGAACGTCTTGTTTCAACAGAACTGATATTTAATAGCTTAAATGATCCATCGCAGCTTTATTACCTGTTCCTGTCTTGGATATTGCCCAAATTTACCAATTTCAATAAACTTTTTCAATCGGAAAAAGTAGTGATTACATGTTTAAACGAAAAGGTGCTCGAAATGTATAAAGATTTTTTTGCTATGTATTTTGGATCGTGATTATGTCAACAAAACTGAGCTTTCTACCATTGATATTGCACGACAAGAAAAATGGTTAAAAGATGATCAAATTTATTTGGGAATCCTAGTGATGAAAAAAATTACACAGCCTGAATTTCGTCGTCAGATTCCTACCACTAAGGAGTTTTTTCATCGCTGTCGGCATTTTTTTAGTCGCAAGCGCTAAAGATTTAATTAAAAAAATATATTGATCTAGATGATCCCATTCTATCAAAAATAGACTTTATTGAACCTACCAATGCTGTTGCTAGTAATCACAGGAATAAAGTACCTACCTTACAGCCGCTTATGATACTTGTTCCAAGAATCATAAAACCCGACGACATTCAAATGATGCAGGCCATAGATGACGAATGGCGCAGTTTTCCCAACATTTCAGATAAAATTGATATATCTATGAATACCGACGAGTTTTGGGGCATCATCAAAAAAAAATTTGAGAATTATAAAACACTCTCTCAATTTGCCTTAAATTTATTATGTTTGCCCCATTCTAGTGCAGATTTTGAAAGAGCATTCAGCGAAGTAAACAAAACTTAGAAACAGTTTATCGAATGAAACACTAAAGGGAACATTATTAGTCAAACAATTAATAAGAAGAAACGAAAATCGTACGAAGTTTAAGCCAATAAAAGAAATGTTAAACAATATGACCACAGAAAATTTGTATAATAAATAGTTTTTTTAATTGTGTAGTTCTAAGTTTTTATTTTATTCTTTTTTTTTTGTTTTGTTGTATACAATATACATAAGGCATCTGTCAAATAAATATGTTTTCTTTCTTTATTTCTTTTATTGCATTTCTTTTCTAAAACTAAACGATTATTTGTTTATTTTTAAAAAAACTTTGTACTTTTAGTTGTACGATCTTTTCATTTCTAAATTTCCTTGGCATACGATTTTTTTTAGTTGTACGATCGCACCATTTTTGCACCTGGCAGCCCTGGTACCTTGACTACCTAACTACCCAACTATAAAAAAATATATACTAGGCATGTCGATTCGCTCTTAAAAAAATCGATCTCCGAATCGATTTGAATCGAAGGTACTTGAATCGATTATCGATTAAATCGAGGATTAAAAGATCGATTTTCGATTAATCGCGACATTTTCAAACGAAATTTCAAGAATTTTCCATTTTTTTTCTTTAACTTCTAAACTGTAATATTTTTTTTAAATAAAATATTAGTAATCTTATTTATTAATATTACTAATAATCCTTTTAACCACTCCTGGTAAGCTTGAAACGCTTGTGTTAGGAGAGGTTAGTACATACTCCACTCGATCCCTTTTTTTAAAAAGTGATTCCACGTAACACTTTTATTTGACATTTTAGGCTAAAAACAACAACAATACTTTAATAAAAGTGCAAACTGCAAGATTTCTCGACAAATCTGTTTCAATCTAATAATTCACTATTTATCATATTGAAATGAATGCTACACGAACACAATACTGGTTATTTCCTTACTATAAACCTCTATAAACTTCAACGTACGAATTTATTTACAGTATCTAGGTATTTAAAAAGTACTCTGTTTGTACTTACAGCTCACAGTATGTATATTTTTGATAATAAATAATGTAAATTCACAAATTCACGGTTCAAACAGGTTCACAGCTATAATATTATAGTACAGGAGGTGAAATATAATATGAAAATATCGCTCGGTCGATCGAAAAAATATTTATAGCTTAGGATGTAATATATATTACATCTCAGTGGAAACGGTTCCATTTAAAAGTACGGTGAGCGATATTAATTTATATCTCGAGATGTAATATAAATTACATTATATCCCTTAGTGGAAAGTAGGCTTAAGAATTTTAGAAATGAAAATGAAATGACAACTTTTCGATATTGTTGGATGCGTTCATAAACATTTATTTTATTCAAATACAACATGTAACATAATTAACGCACTTTGAGAAAGTAGTTTGTTCAGAATCGTTTACTGAATCGATTCCTATCATTTTTAATATAGGTAATTTTTTATCCCAAAAATAATTAAAACTATGTAAATCACAGTCACTACACACACTAAATCTGTACAGTCAAAACAAGCTGAGATGGACCGTAACTTAAAGTAATAAGACTTTTAAGAGTGCAGTTTTATTTGTATTATTACTAATTCCGTCATTCAATAAAAATAAAGAAAAATGAACTTTATTTCAAGCAAGTTAAAGTCTTTGCGTTCGTGGATTTGTACTGTGACCACAACATTCTTGCGGAATTAGTATAACTAATTTGATAAATAATCAGTGCATAAAAATGTTTAACTAAAAATTCTGTGTATGTATTATGATTATAACATAATATACTAATTGGGGTGTCTGAGGGTGTGCGTTAATTACGTTACATATTGTATATATTGCGTTCAAATTATCAACCAAGTACGACCGGTTGATTTTGCGTCCCCCAACAGCAAAAAATTAAAAAACTGTGGTATCTTACCCCAGCCAGTTGGGAATTTTAGCTAGTTCTTGAATCAAATGAATCAGTCCGATTCAAGAGGTTTTTGGATCGATTCAGTGAATCGATGCGGTGCTTCGAATCGATCTAAATAATCGATTCTTTTTACTCCAAAGAATCGATTTTCCGATTAATCGATTTTAGATCGACATGCCTAATATATACTTGTCTATGGATTACCTGCCGCAACAGAAATTAGGAACATTTTATTTATAATATTTGTTTGTGAATTATTGTAAATTAAACTGAGAGTTAGGCTGATAAGGTAATTACTAAATTATGAATAACATGGCACAAGATTTTGATAACTATATATGTTATATTGTGTTAATTTTAAAAATTTGTATCAAGTTGAATTTAACTTCATATGTTAGCTATAAGCTTCGTTGTTTTTTGTGTTTACCTTGCTTTGTTAATAATTCTTATGTTAATTTAAAATATGTATTCGTTGATTCAGTTTACTTTATAAAACTTATTAATTTATTTCATACGTGTTTGTTATTTTAGAGACAATGGCGGATCAAAATAGGGGTCGTGGTCGAGGCATGGCCTTGCTGCAAGCCCTAAAAAAGTCTCAAATGATGGATTCACCGCCACCTTCAGAAGAGTCATCTCCAGATGTTACTCCTGGTCCTAGTGTGGCTCCAAGTGTTGTAAGAGAATAATTTTCAACTGCATGATTACTTACATAAATGTTTGTAAAAATAAGATAAATACTTGAATTGCGTCATTGGATAGAAGCTTAACAATTTTACTCCCACACTAGAAATTTCTCTTGTGGAGTTATTTATGTACATAATTTTTACATGTTTGTCCATATTAATCGGTCAAAACTCACATCCCACAGTACGAGCAAGCGAAAACACTTAGGGCAAAACACTTAGACACTGTATTTTAAAGTCTGGTACTGTGATTGCTAATCCACTTGTTAGGGGTGGCAAACATGGCAATTACAATTCTCTCTACAATGGCACTAGGTTAGTGGTTATTATTAATTAAAAAATTAAAAATTGTTTATTTCTTTAAAAATATCACACATTACATAGGTATGGGAGTAAGTGAGACATCCTTTTAAGTAAATATATACTTGTGGCAGGATGTCCCGCTCTTCTATAGCTAGAATTACATTTTTTGTTTATTATTTAACTAACTTTAATTACATTCACTAACACATAAAAATACAAGAAACTAAACTTATATTTATTTAATAAGGGTTCTGTATAAGTGTGTGTGTGTTTGTTTGTTTGTATGCATATGTAAAGTTTATTTACTAACTTTTAATAATGCCTTGACCTCATAATAGTTAGGTTTGAAAAGCCATTCTGTCACTGTCTTTTTGAACTCATTAGAATTCAGTGATTAGATGTTTAGTTTTTATTGACTACTTTGTATAAGTAACCTGCCTGTCTTTTAAATTAATGACTAGCAAAATTTGTCTTAACTAGAGTTAGTTCAAAAACTTCTCACAAAAATAGTTAAAATATAAGCATGTGCCAGCAATTTGCTCAGTACTAGATGATGCAATAACATGTCAGGTGTGGCGGGGGAGCGAGGGGAAGGCTCTGGCGCTAATCCCGCGCGCTTTATGGTAACAAGTTTCAACATAAATTGATTAGGTATCGAGGTAATCCTGCTGAATAATGTTCGGCCGAATATTCGGTTCGGTAAAAATTTTACCGTACATTCGGCTGAATATTTGTATTCGGTGAAATCAATATTCGGCCCATCCCTATAAAATGAAATTAAGAAAAATTGGTCTTTCTGCACAGTTATCTTCCACTTTAATTACAGTAATTCAAGTGCATAGACATTTATCGGATAGTTCTTTTTTGTAATTTTTATAATATAGAAGTTGATTATGTACCTATGACTACTTTAATGATTACAAGAAAAAAAATATTATAAAATAAATAAATATCTTCATTTTACCAGTTAAATATCAGACACACATCTGATTACAAAAAACCTCTTACTTCAGTATTTGGTATTTGTTCGATATTCTATATTAGAATAGGATAAATACTGAATAATAGTCGAATATTCATTGCAAGTCTAAGTAATCATTATCATTACAGCCCATTTCCAATATAATGCTGAACAAAGGTCTTCCCCAAGTAATGCCACAAAGCATGGTCCATAGCTACCTGCATTCATCAACCATCTAGTGGAAAAGACTCTCTAAATTTCCCTTGACAGTACAAGTCTGCCACTCGTGAACCTTTTTTTCTCAATTAGTTGTCAGTTCTTTGAGCTATATGGCCAACTCATTGCACTTTACCTTATTATTCCATTGCGCTATATTAGTTACTCTGGTTCTACTGTGGATATACTCATACAAACAGTTTATTCTGTTTATCCACAATAAAGAAACCACCTTAGGATAGATACTTGGAAACATGTTCTCATCTATTCACCTCAGACAAGGTGAATATTTGCAATTTCTGGCATTATATAAATGACTGTACACAGCAGAGGGATAAAATTGGAAGAAAATAACATACGAATTCCAGTTATCCACCCTGTCTGGATGGATAGGTGAACACGCATTTCCGAGTATCCACCCAAGGGTGGATTCTTTAACACTCCATTAGTCACGCGTTCTACTATTGTAGAACAGGCATGCATTTCGTGAGATTTTAACATTAATTGTGGGTGTCTAACGCACACACTCATAGTATTCCTCTATTACTAGCTGGTGATCACAATTAGTACCGTTTCGGCAAACTGCGCGATCGCACTTGTTAGAAATTTCACACCAAAACTAAAATTCTACAATAGTAGAGCGCGCGAGCACTCGCGTGTCATTTTTGTCGGAAGTTTACCTATCGTTTTTATTTTATGTAAGTGTTTATATTATGTATAAATATTGTTATTATGAATTTTTTTGTTTGATAATATTATTTTTAACTGAAGTAACTATATTTCGCACAATGATGGCACATATTTTGAGATGTTTGGAAGAAGTTATTACTGATGAAACAACCAGCAAAGTATGGGATACACATATTTTTACTAACGCATACAAAGGTACCTTATGCCTACCATATGGAAATATACGCAGGTGCTCAGCCATTGTGCAACTAATGCTTACCCCATTGGATGGTTTAGGTTATAACGTCACAATGCACAATTGGTTCACGAATATACCTCAATGCTTAGAACTCTTAGGTAGCAAAATTACTGTCGTAGGCACTGTGAAGAAAAATAAGCCACAAATTCCCAAAGAATTCCAAATCACAAGAAACAGAAGCGAAATGAGTTAAATTTTTGGCTTTCAAAAATAAGGTACTTTAGTATCTTACATGCCAAAATCAAAGAAAGTGGTGCTTATTTACTCAACTATGCACTATGATGATCATATCGATTTACTAACAGTAGAGAAACGTAAGACGGAAATAATAACTTTTTACAATAATACCAAATATGGCGTGTACATTATTTGTAGTATTTATGACGTCTCCAAAAATTCTAGGCGATGGCCACTTACCATTTTTTTCAATTTAATGATATAAGTGCTATAAACGGTTATATTGTACATACAATAAACAAGGACTACAGAAATAAGGCCAGGAAGGATTTTTTATATGAACTTGGTTTTTACCAAGTCGCGCCATGCATACAACGCAGAATAAATATTGAAAGTATTTCAAAATCATTGACAATGAAAGGGAAAATGTTTTTGAGCATGACAGATCCATCGGAATTACAACCATGCCCATCACAACTCCCCAATACTGGTCGAGTCGGGAAATGTTCCTTTTGTGGCAGAGCGCGCAATTAGTCTACTAGAAAACTATGTGACACCTGTAAAAAGTGGATTCGTCCTCAACATTAAGTTCTTCAATGCCTTGACTGGACAGGAGACGGGATGCCTTGAAAGGAGACTGAGAAGGTTTGATGCCAAAAAATCATTGATTTTTCTCAAAATTCACAAGAAGTCTGATATTAAGAGCCTAATAAATGGTAACACTTATATTTCGTCTATTTTAGTTTCTTATTAAAGTTTGTTTTCATATGATATTGAAGTATTTTTATATTTGTTTATTGTTCCTGTAAAATCTTTACACAAAATAGTTCTACATATGTAGAGTGCGCGAGCACTCGTGTCCCAAACAGGGGCGCGTAATGGAGTGTTAAGGTGGATAAATGGAATAACCCATACAAACTCTTTCTCATGGAGAAATTCCGAGTTTAACCTTATTCATAGTTAGCTGATCGACTTTGAGCCTCCACATACAGCCAATGTTATCCATCTCATCAATACATCATCACTATTTTTTCTCCTATAATAATGTATATGCACAACAGACCAGAATTGTAGATTTAGAATTTCTCTTCCCCAATGCACCCCATCCAACAACTAATGAACACCATCTTTTCTGCAAACGAAAAAAGTATTCATTGCTTAACCATTATATAGTTTTTATAAACATTTTCATATTCTAGATGAATATTTGTTATTAAAGATGCATAAATTAATCTTGTGAAAACAAAATAAAATGATATGTATTACCTAGTTCAAAGAGAACCTTCATTCCTTTACGCTCATATTTGTAAATTAGGAAACATACAGCAACATTTTTTTTTAAATATTAGTAATCTTATTAATTAACATTACTAATATTCCTTTTAACCACTACTGGTAAGCTTGAAAATGCTTGTGTTAGGAGTGGTTCACGACAGTAGTCAAATGGCGGATTCGAACCCACGACCTTTGACGGCGCCCTGCCATTGGCTACTGTGCTTCAAATTTTAATGCAACACATGTTGTAGTCTAAAAATAAATAGACTCCGACAATGGATGGAAGGAAATAAAATCTAAAATATAAAATTAAAATAACACAATACAACAATGTAATTTTTATAACTAAAACTTGCAACATTATTAAAACTGGGATAGTGATACATGTAGAAGAGAAATCTGTCTGTGTATCTGTTTATTAGTAATTAATTAAAAAGTACTGAAATTATCTGTTTAGTTCATTTGTAATATGATTGATGGTTTCAGGTCAGCTCTACCACTGCTCCATCTTCAACGACAATTGGAGGAAGAGGTAGAGTAGCTGCAATGATGCTATCAAAAATGCAACAAAAGCCAAAAGGTAACCTTTGAATACATGTTATCATGAGAATTTAAAGCATGATTACAATTTATGTACTACATACATTCAGAGTTTATTTCTATTCTAGTAAATGGTTAGTAAGGTACATGTATACTGTAGTCCATAAACATCTGCTTCCATCATCAATTAAGAATCAAAATAAAGATGTGTTATCAATTGTCACCACTGAGGACTAAGATGGAATGCTTTGTTACCATGCTACTCACCATACGAAACACAGCAACATTACGCTGCTATTTTACGCTATTATTTTGTAAGAGCATATTCGTTCCCCAATCGAGGTGACCCAACAAAAAACATTTTGATAACATTTTTGTCTGTCTGTCTATATGTTTGTTCCGGCTAATCTCCTAAATGGCGGGACTGATTTTTATGGGACTTTTACTGGCAGATAACTGATATTACAAGATGTAACTTAGGCTATTTTTATTTTAGAAAAAGAATTAGGGTTTCGAAAAAAATTTAAATCCCATGAAATTAAATAATTTTTACTACTTATATCACACAGATCCACCGTCTACGTCCTTCACACCCGCTGCAGACATTAGCCCGAGTCCAACAACAACAGTAGGTGCAGGTCGTGGGATAAAGCTGTTACAAAACTTGTATGTTTTCTTCATTACTAAATTTGTTACCTTATCATGTATTAATTACTTAAGGGTCCCGACAGTGTTGTGGGGGGTTTAAATTCTCTACATGCCCTATTTTTGGATGGGGGAGGGGAATAAAACCCATTCTTACATAATATTTCGTAAGTCGGAATTTAATATTAGAAATCTAGTTGCATTTTGGATGCTGAATAGTTTTCTTCATTCTACTGGGCGACTATTTTTACCATTTGGAAAATAATATGGTGTTTTCTGTAAATGGAATAGAAACTGTCCTCGAAAATATTTGTAAAATATAACTAGATAAGTAAAATTTTCCAATCCAAAAAAAAAAAATACATAAAAACATTTCATCCTACGGCGTTTGCGTAAACTAGTGAATGAAAGTTGGAAGACCGAGCGAGACGCAGGCGCATTTCTTTAGTTATGTAGGCGCCAGGCGGCCAAGTTCAGCGGCCCAAACATCGTTGCAGCCAACATTTTTAGAAACAGCTAACGCGCGCCTTACGTTTTTTTTATAGGATAAGGGTGACAAACGAGCACACAGTCCACCTGATGGTAAGTGGACGTTGTGGCTCGTAGACATCTACATTTAACCTCGCTAAGAATCAAAATGCAGGTGCGTTGTCACCCTTGAGGACTAAGATAGAATGCCTCGATTCCAGTAAAACGGGTCTCCGGTTCTCTCACCATACTAAACACAGCAGTATTAAGCTGCTATTTTACGCTGGTATTCAATGAGAGCGTGGTCGTACGGCGAGCGTCGTCGGCTTCAACCATAAGTGTGCTGCAGCCTGGCTCTAATATGTATAAAAGGATACATGGAATAAAAACAATTTTATGAATTGATTTTAATTTTAATTTGTTTTTTTCTAGTTCGTACTGCAGGTATATGAAATGTCTAACAAAATTACGTAACTAAATGTAGTAACGTTTGAACATTTATTAAAAAGTAAAAGCCGACTTCAAAGTAATAAAAATAATAGATTATTTTTCTCTTTTTGTTTTTGTTAAATGTTATTTGTACCCATACTAAGATTCTTTCGAGAAGGATCTTTCATATATAGAGGCAGTTTACATATACATATATGTATCTGTGCACCCTTGTGCAACTTATATAAGTTGTACAAGGATAGACATCCAGACTGATGAATAAATTGAAATAAAAAACTAAAAAAAATTGTTTGTAGGCTATAAAAATAATTGTTCCGTGCAGGATTTGAACCCGCAACCATCAGTGTAGAAATTCAATGCTAAGGCATTGCGCTACGGAGGCGTCAAAATTTCCACATTACAGTTTTAGGAGTCAGTGCTAAGTCATAGTGTAGGGTAAAACTGGGTATATATACTGGGTATGGATACCACTCTGGGATAGACGCCGTTATACCCCGTTGATTCTCCATAGCTATGGATTCGCCTTTTTCCAGTTTGGCTTCGACTACTGCCATTGGCAAACCCCTTCTATTCTTTCTAATTGTTCCAATTAGGTGGGTGTCGTGGTTTAGTACTCTGGGATAGACGCATCGATTCTAAAACCCCAACTTCCAAAAAAAAACAGCTAATGTCATGTCTACATATGTGCCACATTCGTATTCATATGTCCCTCACCTCGATGACAGTGTGGCTCTACCACGCAAACAAAAAAGTATTTTTCTCTCATAAGTATTTAGGCACTTATGATATTTATATTTTATTTCGACTGCTTCGTTGTTGTAGTGGTTATAGTAGTGTGACAGGTGATCATGAGGTACTGGGTTCGAATTCTTCAAAAAAAAAAACAATTTATTGAGCTTTTCCTTCAAGAAATCCTCAGTAGGTATGTACCTGGTGTCAGGAAGTTGGCGGTGTCTCACCCCCGTGCCTCGATGAGCCCTTGGTTGGTGGTGGTTTTTTGCGTATAATGTCAATGACCTTAAAACGGTTCAGGTGTAAGTAGATCTCCTAGTACTAGTTACTGTCTACTAATTCAAGACCAGCATATGCTGGTTATTAGTAAAATACTTGGTCGATAAAAGAAACAATACCGTAGCGTGTCGCATGTTTGTAAATAGGGGAAAAAAGTGAAACAGAATTTGGTAAGTAGGTAAATTACCTTTCGTTTCAGATTATTATTTTTCTTATTTCGATCTTTCCTTCATATTTTTACGGGCTTAGGGCTGTCTAATATGCTGTAATTGAGTAGAATTACATATGAAATTTTATCTTGCATTATAATGAATTCATAAACAGTTTTTAATAATAATTTTTTTTTTATATAGGCGGACTTAATGCCTGAGGCATTATCTACCAGTCTACCTTAGAGTAGTGCAGAGATAAAAGAAGTAGGTGTAATAAGAAGTATGTACAATACATATATACATATACATATATACACATATATAAACTCATACATATATAAGCGTATAAATATATACATATATAAACATTATGTAAGTATATATACATAAAATTAAACATATATATATACATATATATACATACATACACACACACACATATATATTAAATATAATATTAAATACTGCTAACTACGAACGCTAAGTTGATTCTGCCATTTTATTGACGAGCATTTCTCGCACTTTAGACTTGAACGTAATCCGGTTTTCGGCACTCTTGATTTCGGAAGGCAGAGCGTTCCAAAGAAGAACAGATTGAACAAAGAACGATGATTGAACAAAGTTAGTACTAAAAGGGGGGGCACTGAAGCAAAAGGTTATTACTAGAATGGAGAACTCTATCATGATTGGAGCTAAGATATTGAAAATGATGAGTTAAATAAGATGGAGGATTAGGAGACATCAAGATAGAGTAAAGAGTAGTGAGTGCACGTAGACTACGGCGCTGACGAATGGGTAACCAGTTGAGTTGAGAGCGATAAGTAGACACATGATCATACTTTCGAAGATTAAAAATGAATCGAATGCAGTTATTAAGAAGACGGTCATATTTGTTCAAGAGTTCTGCATTCTGGTCAAAATAACACACATCACCATAGTCAAAAATGGGAAAAATTAAGGTCTGCACAATAATCGTCTTGGTCCTGGACGGGAGAAAGTTCTTCAGGCGGTAGAGAGAACGCAAAATACCTGTCACTTTCTGACAAACATTTGACACTTGAGTTTGCCAGCTCAAGGTGGAGTCAATGTGCAATCCAAGGTCTTTCACGGAATTACTCAGTTCTGAAATAAAACCGCTAAAAATGATCGGTGGTAAAGCTGTGGGATCCAGTTTCTTTATCATCCGTTGGCTACCTATTATTATAGCCTGACATTTGGATGGGTTAACTTTAAGACCAAACTTATCAGACCAGTTCTTTATATACTCTAGGTCCCTATTAAGAGACTCAATTGCTGTAGATATACAGTCGACCTTCGCGTGTGAGTACAACTGCAAGTCATCAGCATACAAATGATACGCACACTGAAGATTTGGGGTAATGAGATTTATAAATATTGAAAATAACAATGGAGATAGAATACCGCCTTGAGGAACACCAGCATGCAAGTCACACCAACTTAATGAGGACTCGTCAATGCGAACTGACTGCTGGCGGCCTCGAATATAAGATGAGAACCACTCCAAAGCCTCAGATGAGATCATAGAAAGTGAAAGGATTGATAATAGGATGTCGTGACTGATGGCATTAAAGGCGTTAGAGAAGTCAACCAAAACCAGTACTGTGACTTTAGTTTCCTCCATGCCTGCCCTAATGTCACCAGTGACTTTGAGGAGTGCGGAAACAGTGCTATGACCCGGCCTGAAACCAGACTGTAATGAGCTTAACAGGTTATTCGAGAAGATAAAATGTGATAGCTGTTTGTGTACACAAGCCTCTAGCACCTTTGATAAAAAGGGAAAAATGGATATAGGTCGGAAGTGATTAGGTAAATAAGGATTAGAAATTTTTGGGAGAGGTATAATGTAAGCTTTACGCCACAGCGACGGAAAAACTCCAGAATCCAGAGACAAGTTAATTATATGGGAAATAGCAGGGAGGAGATGATCTATAATATTAATAATCATACGGCGACTGATATTGTAACAACCAATAGCATTAGACTTAATGGAGAGTATAACCTTCCTAATCTCATTCGTAGTTATTGGAGAGAAGCAGAAAGAAGCGATATTAGGACGAGGTAAACCCATTATCTGATTAACAGTTTGACACTTGGTTTCGTGATCCAGAGGTGTATGTGAAGAGAAGTGTTGATTGATATCATCCAAACCAATTGTCCTCTGAAACTCAGAATGGGACTTCTTACCAATACCCATGGTTCCAAGGAACTTCCAGATATCTGCAGGGGAAGAGGATATGATGTTGTTAAGAATATATCGGCGTTTTGCGTTGCGTATCATCTGGTTACACCGATTTCTTGCAGTTTTAAAAATGGACCAATTTTCCTCACACCGCTTTTTTCTATATTTCTGAAAGGCTCGGTCTCTACGTCTCATCACAACGCGGATCTCTGTTGTCATCCAAGGTGCTGGCAGCCGCTTTAGCTTTACTTTTTTTAATAGGAGCATGCATATTATACAGATTAATTAATATGTTATTAAATGCGCTAACTTTTTCGTCTACCGTGGGAGCGGCTGTCACTGTGTCCCAGTTAATTTTAGAAGCATCCTGACACAACTTCTCTACATCCATACGGCCAAAACTACACAAGTGCAGGATTTTAGGCGAGGGCTTAGGAGGTTTCAGGATATAGGAAATTTTTATGCTTACCTTATACTGCAACATCTTGGCGTATTTAGTAAATAGAAATCAACTTATTTACAAACTACACTGATTGATATTTACAAAATTATACTACATTATTGTTATTTACAAATAAAAATTACCTTTTTAGCGATATGGCAGTAGTTGTTCAAGATGTCTAACAGTTTTCTTCTAAACATAAAGTAGCACATCTTTGTAAATTGTTACTCCGAAGCGTGCCCCTATCACTTTTTATAACATTGAATGCGTCTATTATACGCTGCTTTAAATCACTAAC